TCCAATGAAGAACAAAGATGAAAACGTGTTTAGTGTTTAGAGAAGCAATAGGCGGCTGCCTAGGGCTCCCTTAGTCGTGATCTCTGGCTGCTTATTGATGCTTAATCTTCTAAAGAGGNTAAAAACAAGTATATATAGGTCTAGGGTCTTCTAGAGTTCACTTTAGGTAAAAATGTCTTTTTGGTCGAAACTGCTCCAATATTGGGCCAAGCAACGGTCAGGCTTCTAGGCCGGTGTTGGAGTCTTCTTTGGGGCTTCTGAGTGCTGGTAACGGTCTGGAACATCGGTCCACAGACTGGCCCGATGCTTGACTCGATTCTGCACTTGTTTCATCTCTGAGGCAGTTTGATGTTTCTTCAGTATTTCGGGTGTATCTTCTTTCTCACAGCTCTAAATGATATGATTCAAACTCCATTGTGAAGTTAACTCAAAGATCTATCTTCCCACCAAGTTTCATCCAATTCCAATCTGATTTGATCTTTCGTTTATCGCTAAACTTCTGGCGTGTATGTTCTGTCCAACTTGGTAGAATGTGATATCTTGTGGAATCTTTGTCTTGGACGGTGTCTTTGGCTTGTGAATGTTGATGAAGATTGGTTTACACATATTTTGGCCATTTTAGCTCTTTTTTGCTTGATTTCCCTGTTAAGACACTAAAACTACAAATACGAGGAAAACTACCTCTTTTGACCGAAAATTTTATTTAAGTGTATAGAAAATATAGTAAAATAGATAGTAAAAGTGGTAAAATATGGAACATATAAAAAATCAGCAATTCAGCATCTTCTTATAAATACAGATTTTCTTCTTCAGACTCCTCAATTTTCTTATTAACATTGATCTCTCTTTCTCTCTTATTACAAATGAAATATTAATTTCTCTGTGATTTTGTTCAAATCACAATAATGGAAAATCTAGCCATCAAGGTCGAAGTTAACGCTCTTACGGTTAGGTATCAAATATCTCTAATGATGTAATAGATGACAAAAAAAAACTAAATTAAATATAACAATTCATTTTTGTTGATAGACGTTAAACACTGATTATTATAACTCTACAGTAAAAACTTAATTGGATTATGTCAAACCATTCATTCTTTTATAAAGGGAAAAATTTGCATAAAGTACTATCTAAACAACCTACATGACATTGAGCACGTCATTGCTATCCAAAAAATTGAATAAGAAGGTATGGGGTTATGGGTTGACAATCGACCGACGATCTTTATTGTTGATTTATCAATGACCAACAGTTTGGCAAAAAAATTGGTTCCTACTTATATGACATGACACTTTTATTG